CAAAATCAACCAAAGTACCATTTCATACCCACTAGGATGGCCGTAATGATTTAAAAATCAGAAGGCAGCAGTGTTGGCCAGTGTTGCACATGCCGGTGCAGACTGTGAGTGGAGAGACTGTTGGAATGGCTCGGCAGGTTCTCAGGAGCAACTCCACCCCTAAGTATATTCCACAGAGAATTGAAGACAACTGTGTTCCCATTCATGATCATAGCAGCACTCTGCATACCAGCCGAAAGGAGACAACCCACACGTCCATCCACACATGAATGGTTGAACATATCATGCTATGTCCACATCATGGAATGCTATGCAGCCCTGAACAGGAGTGGACTTCTGGCACATGCTACAATGAAAGACCATATATCACATGACTTCATTTCTATGAAATACCCACACTAGGTAAGTCATAGAGACAGGAAGCAGATCAGTATTTGCCAAAGGCTGGCAAAATGGGGGGCTCAGGGCTTGATAGAAAACCTCAGGGTGTTTTTTTGTTTTGGGGGGGTTTTTTTTGGATGATGTGAATGTTTTGAAACTTCAGAGGTGGTATATGTACAACACTGAGTGTCCTAAATGCCAGAGAAGTGCATACTTAGGGTGGTTAATTCATGTTTCATGAATTGCTCCTCAAGTTTTAAAGAGTGCATTCAGCCAACAGTCTCTAAAACAAAAATCCCTCAGGGCAACCCCAGGCATCCCTCCGCTTTCCATGTTCCAAGCCCAAAGGAGCTGCAGTGTTCCAGCGGCTGCCTCCCTCCTCCCTGGCTCAGCTTCCCCTGGAGACAGACACTGCAGGAACGAGCGAGCCAGGGCAAAGAGGGGCTGACATTCCATGGGTCTCTCTCCTACTTTTAAGGCAGCGGGTTTGAACCAGTGTTCACGTTAGGCGAATCTTTGAGGCCAAAATACTGAAAATATAAGTGGGGGGTCTTAGTCACTGAATAAACTGAATTCAGACTAATTAATATCCCTGAGCCTAAAGGAGAAGATCACACCTTCTTATCTAACCTGCAGAGCAATCACAAGTGAAAAGTTCAGACAGAACAAAGCACTGGAGGAAGACGTTAAGGTGTCATGATTCTATGCCCAAGGCCTTCCTTTGCCTCCTGCATTTAGGATGTTTAATTAGTGAGATGTCGATGGAAATAAAATATTCTGATACTGATCAAATCGCATTCACATGGATTAAAAAGACAAATTGGCATCTTCTCCCCCACGCTCTCGTCCTCCAGGGCTGAACAGGGCAGAGGCTAGCCTCTGAAGACAGAGAGGGCCCTCTCCACCAGCAGCCATCGAGCGGCAGCTGGAACAAAGCCAGTGGCCCCTGGAGCTGACGGGACGCCACACACAGGGACCCAGACCTGCTGGCACACAGGCAGGACACAGACAGGAAGAAGGGGCCGCGCAACACGAAGCCAGCTCCTGCGTTCACAGTGCACTGTCAGGACTGGGACGGGGCTGGTCCCCCTCCCGCCCACATCAGCAAGGGAAGAGGAGGAAGCCCACTGAGGGCCCAGGGCAGTCCCTGGAGAGGGCCAGGCAGGGCCTGAGCACATCTGAGGGGATTCACACACAGGGGAGGACCTGGCCTGAGCTGGTCCTGGAGAGAGGAGGGGGAGGAGGAGGAGGAAGAGGAGGAGGGGGAGGAGGAGGAGGAGGAGACCAAGAAGAAGAAACAACTATACTGAGATTTCATCTCACACAAGTCAAAACAGTACTCATCAGGAATACAAATAATGAGCTGAGCCCTTAGCTCACATTTATAATCCCAGCAGATCGGGAGGTGGAGGCAGGAGGATCACAAGTTCAAAGCCAGCCTCAGCAATTT